CCTACATAAGTACACGCACCCATTTTTTTTAAATTCTTTACCCATTCTGGGTAGGCAAAGGGTACTGTGCCCATACAGCCAATTCTTTAGTTTATTATTTCAAAATAAAATCTGTTGTAAATAATATATGCTGATAAGCTGTATTTATCCTTTCTTGATTTTTGTTACAGTCACTGACAGCCACAGGTATAATTTTGTGTTACTGTTTAAAAATATATGAAGTTGGAGGAATACCTAATAATACGTAAAAAATATCTGAATAACGCCATCTAGTGAAATATTACATATCTAAAATTCGTTCTGTGATGTCCATACAAATAATTGTAGTTCGAAGTGAAAAGCCCCTGGTTTGTCCGACCTGGTGCATTAGTGTGAGTGTAGGTAGTGTACAACAAACGATTTTGTCTGACCTTGCATGCTTCACGTGATTTGCCTTTGATGTTACGTCCGTCTTTTTTTTAGGTCCGTGATCCATACAAATAAAAATTGGCAAATTAATCTTCTCGTAAATATTATTAAATATTGGAAAATGAATATATTTTGATAGATTATATTTGATGAAAATAAGGCCTTTTATAAAAGTACTTAGGTTTTAATTAGTACATTAAACTTCATAAAAGTTATAAGAAAAGTGTTTGGGTACGGCCAGAGTGCACTCAGATTCAGATTCAGATTCAGATTCCGAAAACAAGCGCGAGAAATAAACAGTGTAGTTAAAGCAGGGTGGCCACAGTGGCCGCAGGCAACCTGCTTAAAGTACACTGTATATTTCTCGCGCTTGTTTTCCGAGTCTGAATCTGAATCTGAGTGCACTCTGGCCGTACCCAAAGTGTGGTTGGCGTCTTATTTTAATTATTCTTAAATTCGTTCATAGTGGATATTGTGAAATAAAATGGGTGTGATTTTGTGTTACAACTGTCTGCGTAACTGAAGAATAAGTAGAATCGTCAAAATATACGCTATTCCGGTCAAGTGGACGTGAGAATTTTATTGTAGTATTAACTACCTCACAGAAGCTTATCGAAAAAGCCAGCTCGATACATTTCGCGCCAAACACTTCAAGAAACATTAGAATGCGTCACACCGACATTCTAATGTAAAAAAAAACAGAATAATTTTAACTTAAGACTAGGCTGTATGGGCATTGTTCCCCTTGCCTTCCCTGAAAAGGGAGAACTTAACCAAAAAAAAAAAGTTCTAAGTAGAATTTAATTCGCATAGTGTTGTTACGATCTTGAATTTTGACAAACCGGATTTGATCGGTTAGTAATACATGCAAATCGGTTTCCGAACCGAACCGCCAAATTTTCAGTAAACCGCGGTTTGAACCGGTTTGAACCGTTTGACGAGATGACGAATGAAACTTACGAAACAACAGGTGCTATTTTTTTTTAATTCTACAATATTTTGTTGATATTACATCGTGCAAATATTTAAAGGTAATTGAAAAATAACAAATAAAATATGAAAACAAATAATAATAATCAGAATTAAAAATGTCAAAATAAAAATAAACAAATATCTATGTAATACCGTGTTTAAAAAATTACAAAAAAAATATATAAACTCTATTAATTACATAAAACCGTACTTCTTAACTTTGAGAATAAAATACAATTTTAATAATCAATAATATAATAAATACGTAATTTATTTTTGTAAAATCATTTGAGTCGTAGAAACTTAATTTGGTACAAACAACTTAATTAAAAGTTTTCTTACAACTATTTAGGAATAATATTTGGTCTATTTTTTTAGAAGCTGGGCAATTACGTCGCATATTACATAATAATGAAAACAAAATTACACCGTCAAGTCAGTCAAATCTACCAGAGTCCGTTTCATTTCGGTGCGGTCGGTAAGTCGGTTATGGCTGTTGTATTTAAATTGACGATGCACGCTAACCGTATCCGCTGCTGTAAGTCGGTTCGTATTGGTCGGTCAAGTTTTATTAGGGTCGGTAAAGCACGTCAGGAGCCGCACGCCATTTGTGGATGGCGGTATAAACAAGAATTGACAGGCGCGTATGCGCGCAGCTCGATACGAACGAATGCCACGGTAGAACCGGTTTACGAAGACGTTAACCGATTCAACTCGGTCCATGCTCAAACCGGTTTGAACCGGTTTGAAAAGTCGAGTCGTTACATCTCTATCGCATATTCTAAAAATAGCTATAATGTTAGTGACACGCTCATTCAAGTGTAGACAGACTTCGGTGCGGTCAAACTATGGTAAACGGACGTAACATCAAACTAAAACGATGTGAAGCATGCAAGGTCCTACAATTTCGTTTGTTGTACACTATTTATGGCGGCTCCACATTAGTGCCGTGAATTCACGTGCGAATTTATGCCATGAATTTACGGCACTAGTCGTGCCCTCCCACGGAGCACCCCCACTAGAGTCCGCATCACACAAATTTTGTTTGGAATCAAAATTGCCAAAGTCGGCGGCGTGCAGGGAGGTCAGCCCCGTTGTGATTGGACGCGTCAAGGTCAGATCATATACTCAGTGCAGCGAAGTGATGAGGGTAAGATCCATTTTAGAAAATGTCGATATTTCCTATCGATAAACAATTTAGTATAGAGGCCTAGTACTTTGGTGCGTTCTAATTACATGAGGCGACCAGTAACTACAAACTAAATAATATATAAGCAACACAAAAAAACACGTGACAAATATATAGATAGGCAATAATATGATGATATTATCATAAAATAATTTAAAACTTAAAGCGCCTTACTCATCGGGTCAGTACGGATTCATTTCGTTTTGTTTGCAGGAGTGACAGCATAGGCGAGTCGAATGAATCGGTAGCATTCGGAAGCACTCGGCACAGCGAGCTAAGTATCCGCTCGGTAAAGATCTGTACGGGAACCACTTAGTGGGAAAGCTCTCACTTAATTATATGCACTCGGAAAGAATCTGTTCAGATTCGGTACAGAATCGAAAACAAAAGAAACTCGCACCGACCCGAAGATAAAGGCCCCTTAATTATTATTTTCTGGTACTTATGACAATAAAGAAATTTAGTAAAACCCATTTTTACGAAGATGAACTATTTATATTTAAACACATTATATTTTTGTTTATACAAAAATATAACATAATTTTCTGTACTTCTGTACTTATGTACAGAAAATTATAACAATTAATCTTAAATTAAGTCAAAATGGGAAGATATCAAAAAGAGACCCCGACCACACGGATACGCGTCTCAAAAATGAGCCTTTTAAATTAGCTGCATGCACACAATTCGCTGTAGTCGCAATTTGTCAAATAATATTGCAGACATTTTTTACTTGTTTTAAAAGATAAAATAATGCCTTCGACGATTTTAGAAAGTGCACAAATAGTTCACATAAGTTCACAAATAGCACAAATAGTTCGATTTATATATTTAAGTTATTAATTTATTTTAGCTTTGCGGCATCTTGACTTTTCAGCGGTCCGCGCGTGACTGTGAACCAAGAAGTACTTGAGAGGAGCTCAAGCACCTCTTGATTGGGACACATTTTGAGCGCTCATGGTGTATCTAGGCTATTTAATATCTTTAATTATATGTTTTTATCTAGGTCGAAAACTATGCGCATTTAATTTCATACAAATCTGTTTAGCCGTTTTAGTGTGAAAGACTAACAAATATCCATACAAATTTTCGCGTTTTCAAATTTTGGTAGGATATGTTTGAAATCAAATAAAAACTGTTGGTTTTTATGACATCTCATGACATCTGTTATTGAATACGATGAAATAAATAGTTTTTATTTATTTTTTCCATTTCCATAGCTGACAAACTTATCGATAAACTTACGGGTTGAGACATGAGCTGCGTCTACGTCACTAGCAATACACGTGCCGGTGTGAGACCGGGATAGCATATATGATGTAGCGCATGCGGGAAAGGGACAATGTACAAAGACATCAACGCGTTCACCAAAAAATAAATACAATTAACAGCAATTAAATATAAGAGTATTTTTGTCTTTTTGTAATGTATTTAAACTTACCGGTGAAAAGTACTACTAAATTTTTGAAGACTGGAAGTTTTACTCTACTTTCCACACAATTGAATTGCATAGTAAGGCATTTTTTACAGTTTTTTAACACGAAAACGAGAGAAGCAGTTCGACCGACGCTCGGTTACCGAATGAAACGATGTATCGCGACGTCTGTAGGCGTGCCTCACGCATAGGTAAAATACTACTTAAGCTTGGCGTAAGCGCTTGCCTTGTATGCGGACTCTAGTGGGGGTGCTCCATGTGCCCTCCACGTTCACGGGATGCTCACAATCGTTCGTGAAACCCGCCGCGAAATGGACGTAGAAGCTGCTGCTGCAATAAGTTTGTTTGCTGTGGCAACATATCACTATTTAGACGTACAAAACAAGAAAGTAATTTAGAAAGCGTTGGAAAAAAAGAAGATGGTGGATGACTTCAATTTCGTAGCCGATCAAGGTATGTTTGCTTGTGTAGTGAATTTTTGAATTGACTTAGTATGATTAATTAATTACTGATTAGAACTGTCTTTATTAACTACATAAAATTCATTTCAGACTTTCTATGGAGAAGCAGTTATCAGAATTACATTCTGAACCATGTGGCGAATTTAAAAAAAATCTCGTATGTCAACAGTGGACTTTGAATATTTCCTTCAGAAAGTATCTCCAATTATATCCAAAACAAATACCCAATTTAGACCAGCAATACCAGCAATTCGTACGCCTTTTTAGTCCTCAGTAAACTGGCATGGGGCCGTGAATGTGGACGGTTTTCACGGCATTCATGCGTGTTCACGCCTGTTCCCCAATCAGAGTCGGTATTTTGTACCGCGACAAAGGGTTCGCACCTCCTTCGCGCGACGTTCACGCGTACACATCCACATTCACGGCCCCATGCCAGTTTACTCCGGACTACAAAAGCGTACGAATTGATGGTATTGCTGGTCTAAATTGGGTATCTATTTTGGATATAATTGGAGATACTTTCTGAAGCAAATATTCAAACTGTTGACATACGAGTAAATTTTTTAAATTCGCCACTGGGTTCAAAATGTAATTCTGATAACTGCTTCTCCATAGAAAGTCTGAAATGAATTTAATGCAGTTAATAAAGACAGTTCTAATCACTAATTAATTCATCATACTAAGTCAGTTCAAAAATTCACTACACAAACAAACATACCTTGATCGGTTACGATGTATTGAAGTCATCCACCATGTTCTTTTTTTCCAACGCTTTCTAATTACTTTCTTGTTTTGTACATCTAAATAGTGATATGTTGCCCTAGCAAACAAAGTTATTGCAGCAGCAGCTTCTACGTCCATTTTGTAACGGGTTTCACGAACGATTGTGAGCATCCCGTGAATGTGGAGGGCACGACTTGTGCCGTGAATTCACGGCATGAATTCGCACGTGAATTCACGGCACTAATGTGGAGCCGCCATGATCGGGGAACAGGCGTGAACACGCGTGAATGCCGCGAAAACCGCCCACATTCACGTTCACGCCTGTTCACGGATCTTCACGGCACTAATGTGGAGCCGCCATTACACTCACACAAATGCACCAGGTCGGACAAACCGCTGCCGCTGCTATTTGACTCCGGGTGACAGACAGCGGCAATAGGCTAGTTTACTCATGTCGAATTGTATTGAATAAATGTTTATTTCTTAAAGTATTTAGTCTAAGGAACCTTAATATATCGATTTCACTTCATAAAAGCAGAAGATTGCTGTAGAAATTTAATTTAAAAAAATATTTCTTAGTCTATATTTTTTAAACACTGACATAACATAACGAAAGAAAGAACTACAACATAAATCTTTTGTTCTCAAAATAAAATTATAAAAAAAATTAAAAATATTTTAAACGAAATCTATCAAGTTGGCTTTTTGGATAAGCTTCTGTGAGGTAGTCAATACGACAATAAAGTTCTCACGTCCATTTGACCGGAATAGCGTATATTTTAACGACTAATTCTTCAGTTACGCAGACGGTTGTAACGCAAAATAACACCAATTTTATTTCACAATATCCACTATGAACGAATTGAAGAATAATTAAAATAAGACGCCAACCGCACTCGATGAAATCCCACCAAAAACGTTTTTAAATTCTCCGAATATGCTCGCGCATGCTTAAAACATACGATCAGCAAATGTTTCTATACACACATCAACTGTACTTGCGTAAATTGAAACATATAGGGCCCAATTCTGGCGTGCCAACTTATATCTAAAACTAACTAAAATTAGATATAGACTTGTCAAATTCAATTTGGTATTCTGCAATGACACTCTATCTCTAAATCAAAAACTGACGTTGCTAAGTTACTCAACTTAGATTTAGTTGATTATTTGGTATTCTGAAACGCGTTCTAAATGTCATATTTTCTCTAAAATTAGAAATGTCACACTAAATTTAAGAAGGACCTATGGAGGTCCTCTCTTTTAAATGTGAATAATTAGGTAAATGATTGCTACAGATAAGTTTTAAACTTATTGTTAGGGTTTGATATGGGTTTGGTTGGTTAAAAAAAGTTATAAATTAATACTCAAATATGACGTTGATAATAATAAGTGGAAAGATTCATTTACTGAACTGTTTGCCTCGAGAACTTCTTTTCTATAGTTTGGTTGTTTTAAGTACGTGTTTTTGTTTTTCTAAATCTACTTAATGGTGTCGGTGATATGCATTCCAATCACCAATTCCAATCCAAATGTTATTTTGACTTTAAATGTAGCTATTTTAGACTTTAATGTATAATTTATTCCTTTCTTTTTAGTGGTTTTGTTTTTATGAAGCAGTTTTTGATATTTGTTAGAAATATTTTTATTTACCACTTTTTAATAGCTAATCATATTTCTTAAAATAACTAAACACGAACTAAGTTTCTGCTGTTTGTCATTGAGAAGTTTGTTTTTATATATGCGAAAGTACTTGTCATCTTCACCAAATGAATTATTGGGATTTGGGACCATCTCGCTAAAATCTGATTGAAACAATAAAGATAAAAGTAGGTTACGCATCTCACGTTATACAATAAATGAGAACAAAATCTTCACAAAACAGCCGAGGGGATAATAACAACCACTTATCGCAACCGCAATTTATAACCGTAGGTATTAGATAGATGCTTTGGATTGCGAATTTACGATGCGAGACATTTTCAAAGATAATTCACGTTAGACCGTGTCGGCCGTAGCAGAGTTAACTAATATAAAATAATATATTTTACATGGATTATGGACACATTCATGCTATTCCGGGCGGTAACCGACAGACAACAGAGCAACAAACGAACAACGCTCAGAAAAAAACTTGGTCTCGCCTCGGCCCCGCCACGGCCCGTTGCATGAACACAACGCCGGCGTGGTGTCTGAAGTATCACTACGATTGCCAGGCAATCGTATTATTACTTCAGACAAAAAAAAAACGATTTTGCTCGGACGAGTACTTAAACCCTATTTACTTTATCTGTATGAGTAGACTGCATCACGGCACAACGGTACCTACCTAAATGCTCAGTCGAGGCACGTCTTTGTAAATTGCAGGTGCGTTACCGGCTCGATGACCGTGCTACGGCTGAAGCTCGGCTGGGACTCGACGCAGTCTAGCGTGACTGATCATCCTTAATAGATTTGTTAGGTACCAAAATCTAGTTGGTACCTATATTTGCATTTTATTTTAGAAGTGGTGGCTTTCCCCAACCATTTGCCAAAAAAAATACTTAGAGCATGCTCTAAGAAAAAATATGAATCCAAAGTTCTCCCCGCAGATTTAATTTCCCCAAGTTCATATTTTTCCCCAAAATAAGGATAAATACTCCCAATCTAAAAACCCTAAGTACCACAGAGTAGGCAAGTTTTCACTCTTTACTGATTCATAATTTCTCATACAGTGAAATAACAAGCTTATGTTAAGTTTCCACATTTCAAAGATGAAGAACAACAAAGAATTACTGAAATAAGTCGAAATCACTGAATAATAAGTATTTATTGCTATTTTGAGTAAATCGATAATTACCGGTTCAATGCTTTTACCTTATCTGTGAATTCAATTTACATGCTCGTTTGCAGCTGTCAACTGTGATCTTAATTTAGTTAGTTCGCAATTTCAGAATACCAATTTACTAAACCTTAACTAAAATTAGCACTCTAATTTTAAGTTTAGGTTTAGAGAATGTAACGCCAGAATTGATCCCATAGTCATACTACGAAAAATGCGAATAACGAAATTTATTTGTGTGTAACGTTTCGTTACTCGGTACTAAATGGCGCACCCGTTACTCAGTACCACGGAGCACCCCCACTAGAGTCCGCATACAAGGGCAACCGCTTACGCCAAGCTTAAGTAGTATTTTACCTATGCGTGAGGCACGCCTACAGACGTCGCGATACATCGTTTCATTCGGTAACCGAGCGTTGGTCGAACTGCTTCTCTCGTTTTCGTGTTAAAAAACTGTAAAAAATGCCGTACTGTGCAATTAAATTGTGTGGAAAGTCGAGTACAACTTCCAGTCTTAAAAAATGGTACTACTTTTCACTGGTTAGTTTAAATGTATTACAAAAAGACAAAAATACTTTAATATTAAATTGCTGTTAATTGTATTTATTTTTTGGTGAACGCGTTGATGTCTTTTTACACTATCCCTTTCTCGCATGGGCTACATCATATATGCTATCTCGCTTTCACACCGGCACGTGTATTGCTAGTGACTCAGACGCAGCTCATGTCTCAACGCGTAAGTTTATCGATAAGTTTGTCAGCTATGGAAATTGAAAAAATAAATAAAAACTATTTATTTCATCGTATACAATAATAGATGTCATGAGTATACAACCAACAGTTTTTATTTGACTTCAAACATATCCTAATAAAATTGAAAAAACGCGAAAATTTGTATGCATATTTGTTACTCTTTCACGCTAAAACAGTTAAACGGATTTGTATGAAATTAAGTGCGCATAGTTTATGAACTAGACAAAGACATAGAATTAACGATATTAAATACCCTAGAAACACCACGAGCGCTCAAAATGTGTCCCCATCAAGAAGTACTTGAACTCCACTCAATCGCGGACCGTTGAAAAGTCAAGATGCCAAAGAGTTCCGTGAAAAAATACAGAAAAATACTAATAGTACGTAAAGTGTCGTTTTTGTGACGGGTAGCTAATTAATGTTTTTTAATTAACGCCTTTAAAGCAAATTTTATTGTTGTAATACTTACTATAAACTGATTTAATATAAAATATTTGTGATATTCAAATGCATGGTCGGTTATACGTCGCCCTTAGCCATCTCTTTTCTTCGCGATCTGTACCTGCTATATTGCTAACAGCGCATTCAGAATTGTGCGCGAAAAGTCAAAAAAAATAAGGTCTATATTCTTTTACACATAACAATAAATCGTAAAATTTTACGAACTTGACGCATGCATTTTAATTAAGACCTTATGCCGTATGCATTAAAGGTGACTTTCAATGTTTAAATAAGGCATTATATTGTTTTTGACCACGCGATCATCTTACGGACCTCCGTGGATCGTCCAATGTACCTTTTGGATACGTTTCGGCCACGATTTTGTTCGTGTTGTTGTATCTAGGGTAGTTAATATCGTTGCATTAATACTTCTTGTCCTGGGCGTGTTTTTTTTTTGTGTTGCTTATATATAATTTAGTATGTAGTTACTAGTCGCGTCATGTAATTAGAACGCTGGAAGAAAGTGGAGAGGGTATGATTACGCATTTGCTTACATTCGCGCACCAAAGTACTAGGCCTCTATTCTAAATTGTTTATCGATAGAAAATATCGATATTTTCTAAAATCGATCTTACCCTCATCACTTCGCTGCAATGAGTATATGATCTGACCTTGACGCGTCCAATCACAGCGGGGCTGACCTCCCTGCACCCCACCGACTTTGGCGATTTTGATTCCAAACAAAATTTGTGTGATGCGGACTCTAGTGGGGGTGCTCCATGCTCAGTACCGAATACATACGGTTTGCTATAGCTCTATTCGCGTGTTACTGTAGGTGGATTCTTTCGTCTGACTAAATTTATCTTAAAACACTTTTAACTTTAGGAAAGAAAAACGTAGTTTTTTTTTGACAAAACTAATTATGGATGCCGGCTTTGTGAAAGCAGAAAGCACAAATCTGCCAAGAATTGACGCATTGATGGTTGGTGAATTTGTTGCACTAAACCCCGATTTCTGCTCTGCAGAGCAGAGAAACGACAAGGCATCTATGTAAGTACAGTGCATTTAGTATTACAATGTAGTAATAAACATAAAACTGATACAACATATGAATAAGTGTAATAAAGTTGCGTAGGTTAATTTCTTTCGGCATTAAAATCCACAACTTTCCTGGAGTCTTCAAGGATGTGTTTTTATATTCTCGTACAATACAGTAATGATAATTACTTTATTTTTCGTGGTATTTATTAGAAATCATGTATTTTTTAT